TGGCCTAGCCAAGGCAATATATAAAAATCAAGATCCTTATTCATTCATTCGTTAATCCCTAGAATTCTCAGTCACTAGTAAGGCCAGAATAGGGTGAGACTACTGAGGTACCAGGGAAATGTTATGGTGTGAGATATGGACCACTGACTCAAATTAAAGTTCAAAAAGGAGTCTTTTAATTGGAACTGCTCCTGCTTTTAACTTTATGGAGTCTTATTTGTGAATAAAGTTTGAACTATTTAAAAAAAAAAAGATTCAGCACCTGTGGCTCAACCAGCTAAGGTGCCAGCCACATACACCTGAGCTGGCGGGTTCAAATCCAGCCAGGCCTGCCAAACAATAATAATGGCGCAACCAAAAAATATCCAGGCGCTGTGGCATAGTACCAGCTACTTGGAAGGTAGAGGCAGGAGAATCACTTGAGCCCAGGAGCTGGAGGTTGCTGTGAGCTGTGATGCCATGGCACTCTACCCAGGGCAACAGCTTGAGGGTCTGTCTCAAAAAAAGTCTTTTATTAACCTCAAGGCTGTCTCAGCAAAGTCTAAAGCAGACTAAATGAGAGAGCGCTGAGGGGTCTGAGATTGGGTTTGTTAGAGTGCTGTTGCATCACAGCTCATAGCAACCTCAAACTCCTGGGCTCAAGCGAGTCTCCTGCCTCAGCCTCCCAGGTAGCTGGGACCACAGGCGCCCACCACATCACCCGGCCATTTTTTGGTTGCAGCCATCATTGTTGTTTGGCGGGCCTGGGCTGGATTAGAACCCGCCACCTTGGGTGTACGTGGCTGGTGCCTTAGCCACTTGAGCCACAGGTGCCGAGCCAATGCAATGATTTCTATGCAATGAAACTAGTTTGAAGTTTTCTAAAAATTATATTTGTATATATAACTGCTATCTAATCTGTAAATTGTAATAAATATATTTTCAAATTCTTTTTGAGACAAAGTCTCACTTTATCACCCTCTTTAGAGTGCTATGGCATCATAACTCACAGCAACCTCAAATTCTTGGGTTCAAGTGATCCTCTTGCCTCAGCCTCCTAAGTAGTTGGGACTATAGGCACCTGAAACAATGCCCAGCTATTTTTAAAGTCAGAGTCTCACCCCTTCTCAAGCTGGTCTCAAACTCCTGCACTTGGCTCAGTGTCTGTAGCTCAAGTGGCTAAGGCGCCAAGCCACATACACCTAAGGTGATGGGTTCATATCCAGCCCGGGCCTGCCAAACAACAATGACGGCTGCAACCAAAAAATAGCCAGGTGTTGTGGCGGGCACCTGTGGTCCTAGCTACTTGGGAGGCTGAGGCAGGAGACTCGCTT